TTCTTACAAGGCATGTTAGGAAAAGAAAAGGCTATAGATTGGGAACTTGGATATGCAATGACCATTCATACCAGTCAGAGAATGACACTCAAAGCTTTGCAACACATTTGGGTTATCGATGAAAATTTAGCCTGAGATAATCTAATTTATCTCGCAGTTGGTCGTGTAGAATATTTAAGCCAACTTATTTGAATTGAAGGTCCCTTATTTCCTCCTGAGATTGAAGATGCAAAAAAATAAGAAAGCTATCAAATATTCATTGAAACTATTTATTTCTGAAAAACTCTAGGATATATGAATCAAGATAAGAAAAAAGGTCGTGAATTTAACTTATCTGTTGATTATATTCTTGTATTAAAAGATTTGCAAAAAAATAAATGTGAATTATGCCTCAATGAAATGTTGTGGGAATGGGATGAAGCTGGAAATTCTGATCAATAAATGGTGGATCAAATTGATAATAAATTAGGTCATATTGAAGGAAATGTATGTCTTGTCTTCTTGAATCTAATCAGAATTATCAAGTCTAACTCACTTAATGAAACCAGAGCATTAGCAATTATGTGAGCATAATATGGGATATAAAATTTTTTTGATTAATTATCTTGATATCTTATACCGAATTATTTATTACTACCACTTGCCTTTATTCAAAATATATTTGGGAGAGTGCATCAAAGTTATGGTCATTGAATATATAGGATAACGCAAACAAAGAGAAGTGTTAATATACTAGATACAAAATTGTAGATAGCTCAAGATAATGTAATGACATATTTATATGGGGTTTGTGAAATTCCAGAAGAATAAACACCTAACTAAATCGTTCTACTTATTGTAATGAATATATCTATTTTTTGATCAATAGTAAATAAATATAAAAAGTCTTAGTTAATAAAATCCATGTATTTGAAATATAAACATACTCAATATTCAAGATATTTGTAAAGAATAGACAAAAAATAATTATACCCAATACATGTTAACCAAATATGGTTTAAACTATATCAATAATTTTAAAACACCAGAAGCTTGGTTACGATTTGCGAAATATTATCCACCTAAATATATATGTAAACGTTTATTAATACTAGGAAATGATATTATTAATAAAGACCATTAGAAAAACTTTGTATACTATATTAAAAATAATCTAACCAGAAATGAAGCCATAGCTAATAACTCTGAATTTAAAGAATTTTTAATCCAAGTAACATATTTTAAAACTTTGTATATAAAAAATTAATCAGCTATTATTATCCAGCAAGCAAATTGTTTATAGAAAAAATGAATAAATTTAGCTAAAATAATTCAGCGTACAGTAAAGAAATAGCTTTATCGACCAGATGGCATATTAATAAAATATATCCAAGATTGGTATTATCAAAATGCTAATAAACTTGAAAATTTGAGAAGTTGTTCACCATTTTTCTAATACTATTCTTAAGATCACAATCAAGTGATATATTTTTATATTGATATTTTTTTCTCATAAATTCAAAAGAAAACCTAACAGAATATACTAATACCATGCAAATCATTAGATTAAGGTGGTAAAAATTTTCTTGATCTTATTCTGCCTGAATTAATACAGTATATTCTAAAGTATTTTTCCAAATAGGATCTAATAATTCTCTTATACTAATTAATTCATAAATGAACAGATTGCCAAATCTAAAATTAGTTTAATAGAATCTGCAAATTAGTTTTGTTAGTCATGAGAAATAAACTATATAAAAAAGCTAAGTATAGGTAATTTCATTATTAAAAACTTATCTGGTAACTCATCATTATTATATTTCTTACTAATCTTCAAAATCTTGCTTTGAATATTTTAAAAGAAACAAAACATAACATAGTACAAGATATCATTGTCACAGAATTGCCACCATGTAAACTATATGAAAACAATATTATCTGTTAATTTTGAATCATTTACAATACTTTCATGTGGATATACATATCATAGAAAATATATAGAAAAAAAATTTTCGCATATAACAGAAAACAAATACCCTTTATCTGATTGTAATAAAATCATTAATCTAGTAATATCTGAATAAAGGTTTTCTAAATCATTATCTTAGTCTAGTGGAACTTCTGCTTTTGCAAAATATTAGGTGATGACTTTGGATTAGATTCTCTAATAGCTGTATTACTATTATTAGGTCAGAAAGACCCCCACTTTATAAAAGTAGAATACAAAAAAAACGTATTATAGAATCACTAGATAAATCTGATAAAAAACAGAAATCAACTACTAAGAAGGGCAAATCTTCTACAGTAAAAAAACTTATCAAAGAATTAAAAGATAATAGTATTAATAAAGATTTAATATTTCTCCCTTAGTTATCTGAAAATAGTTATACTTATCTTTATAAAGAAATAGTTAAAGCTAAAGCTAATAATAATATTGCAAGTCAAAAGCTTTTAAACTACTACTTTCATTTCGGTAAAAAATTATCTAATCACTTGAATTATTATTCCTTAAATTGTTTTGCAGCCAAATTTGCCTGCAACTTTTTTTAAATTTTAAATTTTTTTAATAAAATTTTAAATATT